CAGAAAATCATAGCGAATTTTAAGAAACTTTATGAAAGGGCACTTTTCCGGAAATGTTTTGAAGTGACTGAAGCCACAAACCTCACCCTCAAAGAGTTCTGGAGACAGCATTTTAACATTTGTAGTGCTTTAAAACTCGTTGACAAAGCCTGGCAAGAAGTGACTCAAAGAACCCTGATCTCTGGCTGGAGAAAATTGTGGCCTGAATGTGTGAGAGAACTAGACTTTGAGGGGTTTGAGCCTATAAATGATGCGCCTATTGTTGAGGAAATTGTTAGTCTAGGCCAGCAAATGGGCTTGGAATTGGATGGTGATGATGTGGAGGAGTTGGTGGAAGAACACAACGAAGAACTGACCACCGAAGAACTCCTAGCCCTTCAACAGGAACAGCAAGCCAACGCAGCAGCGGATGATTCTGCAGTGGAGGAGGAGGTGGCAGCAGCACCAGCGAATGTCCCTTCTGCAGTAATTAAGAAGGTGTGTCAGATGTGGGAAGAGATTCAAACAACTGTTGAACAGACTCACCCAGAGAAAGCTGTAGTAGGCCGTTGTCTTAATCTTTTCAATGACAATGTGATGCCTTACTACAGAGAGAGCTTGCGAAGAAGGGAAAAGCAAGCTTACATGGACAGATTTGTGGTGAGGAAATCGAGCAGTGAGCCTCAACCAAGACCTAGTGGCACTCAGATAAAACGTCCCAGGGAGAGCACACCAGAAAGGTCCTCACTGCCTGATGTGATTATGGAAGGGGACTCCCCTTCCAAACAGTAACTCCTCTCCTCCTCCCCCCTCCTCACCATCTTCCATACGCCTACAGCACTCGACAGCAAGGTAAGTAATAACTGGAACATAGTTTTGTAGGTTTATTTAGATGAATTAGGTAAATTAGGTATAAAAATTTAGTTTGATGTGGGGTTTTTGGGGTAGTCAGGAACAGATTAATTCATTTCCCTTTATTTCTTATGGGGAAATTAGCTTCGGAATGCGAGTTTTCGGAATACGAGGCGTCTCCAGGAACCAATTAAACTCGCAAACTGAGGTATGCCTGTATGTATGTATGTATATATATATATATATATATATATATATATATATATATATATATATATATATATATATATATATATATATACACACACACACACACACACATTTACTCAATATTTACAGGATTTTGCAACATTATTGCACATTTAGAAGTCTTGGAGACAGTGGTAGTCGCTGAAGCAGCTGACAGCACACAATGAGACGGCACATACTTTACACCATGTTTGCACCAGTTTACGTTTCTATTTTCTCGTTTTTGTTGTTATACAAACTATGCAATCACGTTGGCCTATTGCACGCTTTTCAGCTGGTGGCAAATGTTTTAGTTTGTGTACTTGAAAGGCTTCCGTGTAAGTGAGCCCGGGCGTAGCAACATGGTGCAATACTGGGATCATAATGGGTGTTTGTATGCCAGGAATTTCTTTGGCAAACTTTGTTAGTAACTGTGTCACAACTGTAAAACTAAACCAATGGAAAGTTGGTTTATATCCTGTTTTCACCAAATACATATTGAAACTGTTCAGCATGCTTACGTCAACAAGATGGAAAATGTTTTTTTCATCCACTTCAATGTTTTCCGTACACACTCGACAGCGCCCACCATCATGTCACATTTATCAACCAAACGCATGTTGATATAGTCAAGAACACAATCTGATTTATATACTCTGATTGTTTCGTTGCTCGGTTCACCTTGCCCCTGTTCACCATTGTACCATCATGAACGGTTGTCAGCAAGTTCACTTCTCTCGTCTTTTTACCTAACTGAAAATATTTGATCACTTTTTCTTAGCTGGCAGTCACCAACTTCAAGATTATTGTCCAACACTGGCATATTGCTGCTTCTTGCCTTTACTTGCCTTCTTGCCACACACTCCAGTTCTATTTTTAATCAAGAACCTAGTTAGCAAGGGACTTGTATAGTGCTTATCTGTGTATAAAATGTGGCCCTTGTTCATCCATGGTGCCATCAGTGTCTTCACCACACTACTTATGAATATACTGCTTGAACCCAACATGTCCTTTGAAAAGCCCAAGGGATTCGTCTATCACCAGCTTCTGTGCTGGTACATAGAAATCTCTGTACTTTCCAATCACTTCATTCATAATGTGCCTGACTCTCCAAAGTCCTCTGTCCTCTTCTGTCCGGTCTTCATTACTTACAAAATGAAGACACCTGAGGAGTATTTAAAACCTGTCTCGAGACATATATTTCCCGAACAAATGTGTTGGAACACTGTTCTTTGCTCCAATAATCTGAGATAACATGTTTTACACTATGTTTCTTCAACATACATAGTGCCAAAAAAACATACTTTCACCTACAGGAGTGTTTTTCCATCACTGAAATCGTGAAAAATCTGGTAACTCCTTTTCAATGAGATGAGCCGCAAGAATGTTCATTTGGTGTACAATATGTTCCTTAAGCGGCTCATCATAAAATGCTGTAAAATACAGTACAGTGGAACCTCGAGTGACGAGCGGCTCTATCTACGAGCATTTCGAGTAACGAGCGAGCCACTCGCTGAAAATTTGTCTCGACTGATGAGCTTTCGCTTGATTAACAAGAAAAACCACATGGTGCTTCCTAGCTTTTTCACTGGTTCTCGCAAATTCTTAGACGCCTCCAACGACAGTGTTGTTGCTGTATCGTGCAGGACAAGCATCCCTTTGCATTTTTTTTTTTTTTTGTGGTTTTGTGACTACAATTTGTAAAGCATGATGTCACCAAAGCTGCTTGCTAAATATAGTGTTGTTAAGAGAAAGAAAGACACAGTTACTGTGGATTTGAAGAAGGAAATTATAGAAAAGCACGAGCGTGGTGTCTGTGTGACTGATCTTGCCAGGGAGTATGGCAGGTCATCATCAACAATTTGCACCATTTTGAAGAGGAAGAAAGAATTTAAGAAGCTTAAAGTGGCTAAAGGAGTTACCAAGGTTACCAAGAAACATCCAAAAATCCTAGAAGAGATTGAAAAACTACTGCTGGTCTGGATGAATGAAAGGTAATTACATGGAGATAGTGTCTCTGAAGTTTTTGTTTGTGCTAAGACAAAGAAGCTGTGTGGACCTTGTCAGGAAGACACCAGGTGCCACGTCTGAAGATGAGGAGATATTTAAGGCAAGCCGTGGATAGTTTGAAAAATTTAGGAAGAGAAGCAGTAAACACAGTGTTGTGCAACATGGGGAGGCTGCCAACTCTGATAAAGCTGCGGCTGAGAAATTTGTGCCAGAGTTCCAGGAATTTGTTGCTAGAGAGGAGTTCTTGCCCCAACAAGTTTTTCAATGTGACGAGTCTGGAATGTTCAGGAAGAAAATGATGAAGAGGACCTACATCATGCAAGAGGAACAATCTTTGCCTGGCTACACTACTGACTCCGGCCGACTGACCGGAGTCGGTCGGTCGAGCGGACAGCACGCTGGACTTGTGATCCTGTGGTCCTGGGTTTGATCCCAGGCGCCGGCGAGAAACAATGGGCAGAGTTTCTTTCACCCTATGCCCCTGTTACCTAGCAGTAAATAGGTACCTGGGTGTTAGTCAGCTGTCACAGGCTGCTTCCTGGGGGTGGAGGCCTGGTCGAGGACCGGGCCGCGGGGACACTAAAGCCCCGAAATCATCTGAAGATAACCTCAAGATAACTACCTTCCTGCTATGCGCTAATGCAAGTGGCGATTGCAAGGTCAAGCCATTGCTTGTCTACCACTCAGAAAATCCACGAGTGGATTTTCTGAGTGGTAGACACTGAACCTTGATACTGTTCAAGGCGTGTAAAGTGCACAAGATGTGACTGAATGTGATAAGGAGGTCCAATAAGAAATCCTGGGTCGCGCGGATATTCTTCAGTGAATGGGTCAATGATGTTTTTGGTCCCTCAGTGAAGAAATATCTTGAAGAGAAGCCGTTACCACTCAAGGCCTTGCTTGTGCTCGATAATTCGTCTGCACATCCTCCACAGATGCATGATGATTTGTTTCCCGAAAATCAGTTCTTCACCATCAAGTTTCTTCCTCCCAACACCACTCCTCCATCCTATGGACCAGAAAGTCATTGCCAACTTTAAGAAGCTCTACATGAAGGCCTTGTTGGAGAGGTGTGTTGATGTGATAAACAATACAGAGTTGATCCTCAAAGAATTCTGGAAGGACCACTTAAATATCCTGGGTGCCTTACGTTTGATCAATAAGGCCTGGAAAGGCGTGACACTGAGGACCCTAAACTCTGCATGGCGAAACCTGTGGCCTAAAGGTGTCCCTGAGCGAGACTTCGAAGGTTTCGGTCCTGCAATTGCATCTGCATCTGCACCTGTGGAAGACCCGGAAGTCCATCTAGTGGATGATATTATTGCTCTGGGGCAAACTTTGGGTCTGGAGTTGGATGCTGCTGATGTGCAGGAATTAGTGGAGGAGCACAGTGATGAACTGACCACTGAGGAACTCCTGGAACTTCAGAAGGAGCTGAATCAAGAGGAGGTACAAGAGCTCTCATCAGGGGAGGAGGAGGTATGGGAGGATGCTGCTGCCTCTTCTAGTGAGATCAGGGAAGTGTTGGGAATGTTTGAAAAGGTGACTGCATTCTTGAAAAAGCATCACCCTGATAAAGCAGTGACAATATGGTGTGTGAACATGTTTAATGACAATCTGCTGTCTCGTTTTAAGGACATCCTAAAACAACACAAAAGCAATTGTCAATAGATACGTTCTATGGAAAGATAAAGAAAAGACGAGCAAGTGATAGTGAACCCCAACCCGGTCCCAGTGGGGTGAAATTCCCAAGAAGGGAGAGCCCGCTTGACTCAGAGGTGTATTCTCCTTCCACACCATAACCCCTCTCCTCCTTACCACCTCCCCATTGTCTCCCTCAAGCCAGAAATGACTCTTCATAAGGTAAAGTACAATTGAAAATAGTAAAACAAAACATTTATATTTACATGTACAGAATTATATTTACATTATAAAATGTTATTTTGATGTTTTTGTGGGTGGAACGGATTAATTTTATTTCTATTATTTGAAATGGGGAAATTCGTTTTGAAAAATGAGCGTTTCACATGACGAGCTCGGTGCCGGAATGGATTAAATTCGTTAATCGAGGCTCCACTGTAGTCCATTTCACACATGTCCTCACCAGTATCAGGGTAAAGGTCTGTAATCCCAACGTCTTTATTGTCAAAGACAGGAATTTGTGGAACAAAATCATCACCATTACTCCAAACAAGTACACCTGGTGTCCTGCGAGACGAAACAGTGGCACCATGGCGAGGAATCGTTGCACACCGTGGACCAAGAGCTAAAGCCCGTCTACGCAAAGTACAGGCGCTAACTGAAGATGCGGTAAAATCACGTGAACATGGGGGGTCTTGGGTTCCTCATGTGGTGCCATTTATGTTGGTGCTTTGTCATTATACAGCATGGAAATTTAATAATCCCCGTGAGTGTAAATTTTACCCCCCAATCCACTCAGATTACTTGAGTAAATGTATTTATATATTCTCTGAAGTGGAAATTACATATGATTCCTTTTTCAGCATGGAGCTAACTTCAAGAGAGACAATTCCACCAATAGAGTCACATGTCGCTAGAGATACCAACTCGGACAGGATTAAACAGTTCATAGTTGCCGGACACATCCTATGTTCAACTTTGGCAGCTAAGCCGTTATCTGTTCCATATTGTAGTTAGAAATTTAACCCATGCCTTATTGATTTCTAATGATTTATGAACATGTTATTTCAATATTTACAGATATACTAATATCATAGAATTTAACCCCCCAAAAGATGTGTAAGGGATTAGCTCTAAATTTAATAGAAGTTTTACAGTCCACTTCTCTAAATTCATTTTAAATCTATTATTAAATTTATTATTGAGAGCCATAAATCACTGGTTCTCTGAGCCCATACTAATTGTATGGTTCTCCTATCTTTTGAATCTTATTATATGTTAAGAGTGAATTACCCCCACAGACACCAGGTCAGAAAAGCTGGAAACCATGGATGAGTCAGCCACCAAGGAGCTAGAAGGATTACCCTACCCCTATAAGTAACCTGCATGAACAAAACCTGGAGTAACAACTGAACTAGAGAGAGAGAGCAGAGATAAATGAATCCCCATCTCGATCAGGTCAATCAAAAGACATCCACCACAAGACTTCTGGAATCGGCAAATGAAGCCACATGCGATGGAAGCTGCCAGTTCCACACCAACTTGAAGAGGTTAACCTCAGGGCAATTGTACGCCTTGCAGCGAGGCTAGAAGGACACGATGTTGATGGTCCAATCAACGGGAATGGGAATGAAACAAGAGAGACTGTCTACGAGATTGTGGACACATCCCGCACAAGAACAGCAAGGAGAACCAAACTGAAAATCCAGAAGCCGAGCGACACCCCAAAATCCAGCTCCAAAGAGGAAAAGACTGAAGCGACTCCAGCAATTTAGAAAATGCACCTTGGTTAGGGGGTTGAATCAGTTGAAAAATGCAACCTCTTACTTTAATAGTGTGGAGGTCCAGTGGTACGATGCTCAATTTTGTATCACACAAGTGGCAAGTAATCTCAGCCACGGCATTTGGAATTTTCAAGTATATATGTGTTTTTAAGAGACAATTACAAGACAATGCAATGTCTTGTAATTTCTGATAAAAATATTTCCTCATGTGTTATCAGAGCTAATATATTTTTTTGCATTAGGTAGTCATGGACTATTTTTATTGTGAAGATCCATGTGCTTTACTAGACTACATTTTTGAGAAAATGCTTTTGAACACACAGAACACTGATGTGGTTTCTCACCTGTGTGGCTTCTCTTGTGAGATACTAATGAAGAGTTTTGTGAAAATCCTTTTGAACACACAGAACACTTATATGGTTTTTCTCCTGTGTGGGTTCTCATATGTGATACTAGAAAAGATTTAAGTGAGAAGTCTTTTGAACACTCTGAACATTGATATGGTTTCTCACCTGTGTGACTTCGCTTGTGAGATACTAATGAAGATTTTTGTGAGAAATTTTTTGAACACACTGAACACTGATATGGTTTCTCTCCTGAATGAGTTCTCATGTGTGTTGCTAAATGCAATTTTGAGAGAAAGCCTTTTGAACATTCCAAACAGTGATGCGGTTTCTCTCCTGTGTGTGCTCTCATGTGTGATGCAAGAGAAGATTTCTGTGAAAAACTTTTAGAACATTGTGAACATTTGTATGGTTTCTCCCCTGTGTGAGTTCTTGTGTGTTTTATCAAACCAGATTGATCTGTAAAGACTTTGGAACACTCAGAACACTTATATGGTTTTTCACCTGTGTGAGTTCTCATGTGTGTGCCCAGATGTGTTTTATTTATAAACTTCTTTAAACATTCAGAACACTCATGTGGTCTCTCTCCTGTATGAGTTCGTATGTGAGTTGCCAGATATGATTTGGAAAAGTACTCTTTTAAACACACTGAACACTGATATACTCTCCTTGTTTTGTGAGATTTCATGTGTGATATCAGAAGAGATTTAATTGAGAAGTCTTGTGGACATTCCCAACATTTATATGGTTTCTCTCCTGAGTGAATTTTCATGTGTGACAATAGATTAGATTCATCTAAAAAATCTTTTAAACACTCTGAACACTGGTACGGTTTCTCTCCAGATTGATTTTTCATGTTGCTGGTTTGAGAAAGCTTCAAAACACGTGACACAAACCAACTCTTATGTTTTAAATGCACATCAAAAGTTTTTTTAGTGATTTCGAGTATATTTGAAAGGATGCAAATAGGAGAAATTTAAGTTCATATACAAAATATTAATCTAGTGCTAATAGGGAAAGATTTAAATTACAAAGCATTATCAATTCTAAAATTGTTTACATATGAATGCTGATTTACAGTTAATGGGTTCATAAAATATAGATACTGTACCTATTGTAATCTGATCTTTTATACATTAAACAAATTAACACTGCCCACTGAAATTATTTCTTAAATAAATCTTTTTATTCGAGGGCATATAAAGATGACACAAACTTCTCAGTGAATGTGCAATTAGGTTTCTTCAGTTTTATTACCTGTTCAGGATTAAAGGATATATGGAGGTTAGATAACAAAAACAAGCATTGAATGTAATGAAACACCATTTTCTGGGTGAGTTCCGGAGGCTCCCTGGAGCTATCCAGGCTGATATGCATATCACTAAACTTTAGCATCAGTTAGTGTGAATAGCATTCTAGGCCTACTTGGGACCACCGCCAGAACCTGGCCCCCTCAGAAAGGCACGAGGAGCAATGGCCTATAGAAATGCACATGGGCTTTGGAGCATTCTATATCTGTCATCAACCAGGACAGGCACCCAGAAAGGTAAGCGCCCCAAAACAAACCCCTATTCTGGTTAAAACAACAAAAATAAACAAACGAGTAGAGAGAACTCCCCAAATGAGAATGAGGAAATGAGCATGACGTCACAAGAACCGCACCTCATGTCTGCATCGCTCCCCTCTCCTTGGGAGGGGAAATAGGGAACCCCAGACCCCCGCGCCGGCTATCCACCCTGCAGTTCTGAGGCTGGATGTCTAAAACATGCAAAAAAATGCCGACCGGAGCGAGAGAGGGTTGTCAGGGAGTCTCCGGGATTCACCCAGAAAATGACACTATATTACATTCAACGCTGGTTTTCCAGGGAGGAGCCCCTTTGGCTCCCCGGAGATAACTACCCAAAGCCAAGGAGAAAAAAAAAGATACAAACCCGGGAGACGGAAACCACACGCTTAAACCCGAATGCAAAACAACTGGCAACACCAAAAGACGCAGCGGACGACCCGGGAGACTCGAATCCTGGAACAGGGATGAAGGGAACCCGGGTCAACCCACAGTATGTCCAGTTCCACAGAGGTCGTAGCACACAGGTAACGGCTAAGAGCCACAGCCAAACACAAGAAGATGCACTCCCCGGCCAACATCAACAACCCCAGGGACCCTATCCCCCCCCCCCCCCCCGGAAAACAGCTGTCCCAACTTTGCCAGAAAAGATGAGACGGTCGTAAAGGAACAAACCGACCACCAGAACCCAAAGAAGCGGAAACCACCGAGAAACAAACCTGAACCAAAGGGGGCCACAACAAACCGAGGGGAAGAGAGAGAAAAAAGCACCCTGTCCAGGACCAGGACTGCTCAGGCGGTGCATGAGCAGGCCAGAGGTGAACAACGCCTGAGACACCTCGCGAAACAGTGCAGAAGGAACATCAAAACCGAAAGCAATCCGCAGCAGCTCCACCAGCCCCACACAAGACAAGGAAACAGTATGTGGCAAGCCGACGGTCCAGAACCTCCACGAGAGAAAGACAAGACCACATCAACAAAAAGCACATTATACCTATGAGGAGACAAAAAGAAAAGGAAGGACTGTCAGGAAACCCCCATACCGCCGCCAAGACGAAGCATGCAAGTGGGACACCATCAACAAAGCCACCTGATCACCAAACAGATGATGAGTGACTCGAATCAAAATTACCAGACTTGAAGACTCGAGGAGAAGACCGAACCAGCCCCAACATGGACCGGACCGATCATTTGAACGAGACAGAGACATAGGAAAACCCCTTGGTGCGGACACTGAGCAAGCAGCACCCGAAACAAAGACTGTCCAGAAGGAATATCCGCCAGGAAACCAGGAACCCAAATCCGACGAGCCAGAAAAAATCAACCCAGACGAGCAGACACGTCCCGTCCGGGAGGAACCCCCCGGGACCCCTGAAGGTCCAACAAGTCTGATAACGGACGGCAATGAGAAGCTGCTGCTTGCAGAAACTGCTGAACCGCAGACTCCGCAAACAGCAAGGACAAAATGGCGATGAAAACCTAGGAGCCAGGGTCCAGGCCGAGGACAACGAGGAAGCGAGCACCACGAGCCAAAACACGAGACACAAAACGAAAAATGGTGTCACCGCATCCCGCAGGAGTGGCGCAACCAGCTCCAGCAGGGCAGAATGACTCATGCGTCGCTGAGTAATGTATGAGAACTACTCAGGACGTGCACTGCACAAACACAAAAATGTACTGTCTGAAAAAGGAACACAAAGAAAAGGCCATAATCAGGGCCGGAACCCCTAGCTCCTGTCCCAACAAAAAGGAATTGTAGAGGCAGGAGTGGAGGACTGGAAATCAACATCCACCTGCAGACATTGCAACACAGAAGCTGGTAGCGACATACAAGGAGAAGATGAAAGAACTCGGTTCTATAACTGAACACTGGGGCTGTTCAATATCAAGGAACCGAACATGTACACAGTCCAACCTAGCACTAACATTAGTATAGCCAATATGCACATACAGTGGTGCCTTGATTTACAAATTTAATCCGTTCCTACACCGAGCTCATCATGTGAAACACTCGTCTTGCGAAACAACAACAACAATGTCGTCAGGGGCATCCGAGAACCAGCAGAAACGCTAGGAAGCAATATGTAGTTTGCTCGTTAATCAAGCGAAAACTCGTCAATCGAGACAAATTTTCTGTGAGTGGCTCGCTCGTTACTCGAAATGCTTGTAACTTAAGTCGCTCATCACTCGAGGTCCCACTGTACTAAGATACATAACAAAGTGTAGTATTGAGGTAGGAAATACATAAATATGCAAGGAAAAGACTTTAAAGATAATCCAAGCACCGGTAGCTAGGGACAAGAGAGTATAATCAAATGAGGAACTAAGAAGACCTAGGAAGCAAATGGAAACACAATGTACATGATCAAATACATATACAGTGGTACCTCGGAATGCGAGTGTCCCTGTATGCGAGTTTTTCGGAAGACGAGCAGGATTTACTCCAAAAATATGTCTCGGAAGGCGAGGGTTACCTCGGGACACGAGTTTGTTGATACGTGTACAGGCCGACTGGCGCGTGGTGGCATGGCGATCGCGCCTCAGTTTACCAGTGTCTCGTGTCCAGTGACTATCCCACCTGAATTCTTCACAAGGATTTACAGTTTTTTATAGTTTTTTTGGCCATTTGAGCATAAAAGTTGTCATTATATATCTTGCCATGGGTCTCAAGAAAGCCATTGGTAAGGTTCAACCTAAGAAAATAGCTGTGAGTAGAGGCAGTAGAGGATGTCCCTTCTTGATTAAGAAAATGTGTGAAGTATGGGAAGAACTGCAAAGTTTTGTTGAAAAAACTCACCCAGATAAAGCTGTAGCAGGCCGTTGCATTGACCTTTTAAATGATAATGTGATGTCTTACTACAGACAAGTGTTAAAATGTAGGGAAAAACAAGTGTCATTAGACAAATTCTTAGTAAAACAAGCAAGTCCTAGTGGTATGCAGGCAAAATGTGCCAGTGTGCATACCAGTGAAGTCCTCACTGCCTGATGTGATAATGGAAGGGGACTCCCCTTCCAAACAGTAACTCCTCTCTTCCTCCCACCTCCTCACCATCTTCCATACGCCTACAGCATTCAACAGCAAGGTAAGTAATAACTTGAACATAGTTTTGTAGGTTTATTTAGATGAATTAGGTATAAAAATTTAGTTTGATGTGAGGTTTTTGGGGTAGTCAGGAACGGATTAATTCATTTCCCTTTATTTCTTAAGGGGAAATTAGCTTCGGAATGCGAGTTTTCGGAATACGAGGCGTCTCCAGGAACCAATTAAACTCTTAAACTGAGGTATGCCTGTACAGAGAGACTCCAATGTATATAAGGGTGCAGCCAGGCACTGAACAATGAATGGCCAATGAATGAGTGTCCAGATAGCATTGAATGAGTCAATAATACCCAGAGGCAAGACAAGATCTCTCACTGAAAGACTAAATAAAAGTTACCGAAATACAGGGATGTGCCCCACAGTGTGATGAATAACAATGTATACAGACATAGTAAGGTTACGTTAAGATGCAGGCAAATTGGCCAATCAACACGCTACAAACAACACCCAACACTCATCCAATAATCGAGAACCAGTGCCTGGCTGACGGTATCGCCAGATCGTGTAATCTCCCCGGTAGAGCTTAGGCACTATCGTGTCACGACACAGCCTATCCGTGTAATATTCTAGGAGCTCGGCTAGTGGATTATGGCCAGAGTTGCATGTGCAGGATGAGAAGATTAGGTGTAGTGTAGAGGTGGAGGCAGTGGCGCCATTTCGAGCCACCCCACACCCCGTATGCAGAGAAAAAAAGGAGGTATCTTCCCCATATAGGGGTACCTCGGTTTAAGAGTTTATTCTGTTCCTGGAGACAGCTCGTAACCCGAAAACTCATAAACCAAAGCTAATTTCCCCATAAGAAATAATAGGAATGAATTAATCCGTTCCTGACTCCCCAAAAACTTCACTTCAAACTAAATTTTATACCTAATTCATCCAAATCTACACTACAAAAGTATGTTCAAGTTATTATTTACCCTTGCTGATGACTCCTGTTGGCGAATGGAAGATTATGAGGAGGGGAGAGGAGGAGAGGTGTTACTGTTTGGGAGTCCCCTTCCATTATAACATCAGACAGTGAAGATTTTTCCGGAATGCACTCTCTGGCACGTTTTGCCTGCATATCACTAGGTCCTGGTTGTGGCTCACTGCTTGATTTTTTCACAATGAAACGATCCATTGAAGATTGTTTTTCCCTCTTTTGCAACATCTGTCTGTAGTGAGGCATCACATTGTCATAGAAAAGATTAACTCTCAAACCGCGCATATCATATACAGGGGTACCTCAGTTTAAGAGTTTAATCTGTTCCTGGAGACGGCTCATATTCCGAAAACTCGTATTCCGAAGCTAATTTCCCCATAAGAAATAATGGGAAATGAATTAATCCGTTCCTGACTACCCCAAAAACCCCACATCAAACTAAATTTTTATACCTAATTCATCTAAATAAACCTACAAAACTATGTTCAAGCTATTACTTACCTTGCTATTGAATGCTGTATGCGTATGGAAGATGGTGAGGAGGGGGAAAGAGGAGAGGAGTTACTGTTTGGAAGGGGAGTCCCCTTCCATTATCACATCAGGCAGTGAGGACTTCACTGGTATGCACACACTGGCACATTTTGCCTGCATACCACTAGGACTTGTTTGTC